GAAATGATGTTCCCAAACAAGGCCAATATCTACTCTGTATATATTTTAAAACTCTTCTACAAAGTATGTAAAGTAAGGGGTAACACGATTGTTTTATTTGACAAATGAATAAAGAATTACTCGTATTATGAAATGTATTTCGGGATGGAGGATTCTGTCTATGTTTAAATAAATTATGCGATTAAAATTTATGCAGATAAGAAAAGAGTGATATGAACCACACAATTTTCGATTAAAAAGATTTGATAACGCAAATAAATACTTTATTAAATAATTGCAAATTTAATTCCCTGCCTGCATATAGTCCTATATGAAAGACTATGTTTTAGGCTTATTATTTGGAGTAACAAGATTATGACTTTGAGAAATTAATCATATTGGTTTTGGCCTTTGATTTAGTTAATTTACTCTTTTAGCATTATTTTAAAACCATTCATCCTCCCTCCCTCCCAAAACTACCCCTAGCTATATATTCATTTGTTTATTTCCCCCCTTCCCAAAGTACAGGACTGGCTTTAAGCTGCCAAGAAATGGAGGGGAGTGGAGCACAGATGGATGGGAGGGTACTTCAGACATTCCAGAAGAGCTTTGTGCAAGTTCAGAACATTTTGGACCACAACAGGCTGCTGATAAGTGAGATCAACCAGAATCACGAGTCCAAAACCCCCGACAACTTGACCCGAAACGTCGGTTTGATCAAAGAGCTCAACAGCAACATAAGAAAGGTCGTCGACCTCTACGCCGATCTCTCGTCTTCTTTCTCTAAATCCATTGTTGATGCCTCTTCTGAAGGCCACTCCACTTGCCACAAGAGGAACAGGCCTTGCTAGCTACAACTAATTTTATATATAATCACTATATTCTTCTTCAAGATATATATATATATATATATATATATATATATATATATATATATATATATATATATATCCTTTGATTTGTCACCTCTGATGAGAAATAATTCTTCAAGGAAAAATAATAAGCTGTTGGGTGTTAATGGTTATGCAGATGTATTTAGCTTGGAGGAGGAATGTGTGTAACTTTGTATCTTCTAGTCTCTCTTGTTCTTATTGTGCTTGACAATTTGTTGCCTTTAAATGAGCATTTTTTAAGGCTATTTATATGGGACAGTGTGCAGTTTTTCTTATCATGGGTTAATTGATGATCTCTGTTTGTTACATTATTTGTATGCATTCCATCCTTGATCTCAATGTCTTTACACACAATTGTTCTTAATTGTGAAAAAAATCTAAATTAGGAGCGAAACATATAAAAAGTTTTAAATTAATTAAAAGCTTTATGTTTTTTATTCTCAAAATATTAGTTACAATAGCGGCGCCACTGGTTTAATCAAACATTTGCGGTGTTCTACAATCTCCGTTTGCAAAATTAATGCTTTTAGCCATCCTTAGCTCCCTTGAACTCCTAAATTCCATCCCAAACCCACCTTAGCCCTCACCAAATGTGAATTGCCCAACGACTACACATTTGAAGGTGGGTCGGGGTGGATGAGGTGAGGGAATTTAGGGAGGTTAGAGGGTACGAATAAGTGGCACTGTTTCCCAGTAGCCACAAAACCAGGCCGGTTTAGAGGGTAGTACGATTGTGATTGAGCAACACTGCCACTAGCAGCGTTAATGGCTTCTTCGTTTGCAACATTGAAGGGTTCTATCTTTCTTAAACCTCATCCCCTCTCAAAATTTTGAAAATGTCGCTAGTGAAATTAAGAGGCGTTAAAGAGGGTATGAACCATTAAATTTAAAAATATCGCTAGCGGCATCAACAAAATTGCCCTCTAAATAACGCAATGGTCAATAAACTCTATGCCATTCTAAATTTTTGTAATGTGTTAGACATTGAGATGAAAAGGGGTCGAAAAGTCAAAGACTTTGTGGTTCGAAGGCATAAAGTGAATCCTTCAAATTTCAAATGAAATATCACATATTCAGTTTTTAACGAAGACGAAAGTCTTTTTACTTTAAAAGATTGAAAAAGTACGTGTGAACATATACTACAATTGTAATAAAGTATTTAGTACTGGAAAAGATATTCTATATGTTAAAAAATGTCACAAATTTAATGGAGAGAATGAAAGAAATCTTGAAAGAGAAATGCTAGATTTACAAATAAAATGGTCACAAAATTCACCAGCTTACTATTTGTGAATTTCAATAAAAAAAATAAGTAGTCTAAAATAATTTTAAAATACAAATTTAAAATAAAAATGGTACGTTTCTTAATTAGTTTGTAACTATTCTTATTGTAAACCTAGCATTGTTCATCATGAAAATATGCCAATTGTGTGTTGTAAATAACACATTCTTAGTGAAAAATTCTCAACGTAGTTGGTAATGAATCATATTATTGAATCACTCGATTGTGTAGCAATTGAATCCTAAATTATCCTTATAACACTAGCATTATTTTTGTTGCTCCCTCTTCCCTCATTTAATTAATCAATTTTTTTTCTAAATTCAAACATTTAAATTATTATGTAAAAGTAAAATCTGCTCTGTTAAATTTATATATTGAAAATATTATTAAAATAATACAAAAATAATGTGATGACTATTTTTACATAAAAAACTTTATACTTTTTTTTATTGATAATTGTTTTAAAGTAAACTTTACTCTTCTCCTTTTTATCAATCAGGAATCAAATACATGTCCTACACAATTTCTCTTTCTCAGCTCCTACTGTAACAATTTTATTAATAATGTAAATTAATTTTATAATGATTGAATAATATTTTTTAAAACGTTAAAGTCTTAAAGATTAAAGGTGGAAATTAAATAAATTAAAGCCGTCCCTCAATGTTGGGACTTTGGTGGTTTCCAAATCCAAGCCATGACAAATAAAACTAAATACATATCGAATATAAAAAAAAAACAACGTGTTGGCACACTTATTAAGAACTAATAAGAAAAGTGATAAATTTTCAAAAATTCACGTACTATAAACTTTAAGAGCTTTTTTTCTTATTAAAAAGTAATAAAAAGGTAGATTAGAAGTAAAATAGAAGGATATCATTAAAATTTAACCTTAAAAAGTAAACTAACAAAAGAAATGAGAGAAATATTTCTGGACGGATCAAAAAAAGGGGAAGATATGTCTGGATGGAGGGAGTATTAGACTTATTTTCATTACTTATTTATGACCTGTTTTTAACCTTGCACTAATACCCACTTGGGCTAAGATATTTTCACACTTTTTTTTTCCAATTTTAAACTATAATCATTCTATTCAAGCTAAGAAAGGATTTTCCTGGAAAATTATAATGATTTATTAGAATTATTTTAAATTCAAATGAAAATCAGCGAGGTAATGAAATTTATAATTAAATCTTAAAATTATGTTACGAATTTTATAAAACAAGCAGTGACAATAATACTAAAGTTAGTAAAATAAAGCAAATAAAAAAACAAGAAAATCTTTCAGAGATTAGAGTATTATTCATTTGTGTGCAGGAAAAGTTTAAATTGTGTAACCAATATTTTATGTCTCATTTTTTTAAATAAAATCACACAACCTCGATCACTTTATTAATAAACTTATTATTGATCAATTGAGCATTATATATAAGGACGAATATTTAGTTACACTCAATTTGGCACCAAAATTTTAACTATCAAAATATAAAAACTTTTTTTGTGCTTGCGTACGTCTGCAAACTTGAACTTGTGATTAAATATATGACTTGAAATATCAAGTGTATATATATATATATATTACAAACTAAACATATGCACAGATAATAATTATGATATGCATGCGACCCAGATAATGAATGTCTACATATATTTGTAAAATACAAAATTTATATGTACAAGTATAGAAGACACGTTTGAATGGACACTACTTGCATGTGTGTTTTTGTACACATTTAAATAAAATGAAGGGGTAATAAGAGTGATAGAGTACGTACGTAGAGGGGGGTGATGGGAAAGAATTGGACAGAGATGCATGAATCTGTAAATTCTAGTGGAAAGAAAGATATGGCGCACGAAGCAACCACGCACGTACATACTATACGCCCAATGGATCTTAATTGCTTTATTATTATTTCCTAAAGGCCTAAAGCTAAAGGGTTGACCTCCACATGCATTATTAGTTTATTTCCAAGTACTACTATATATTAATAATGGTGGTGAGGTGATATGATGTCTGTGTACTCGTTTATTGAATTATATATATTTCTGAAAGGTGTTGCGTAGTTGGTAAAAGTATAAAGTATTGAGGGGTAAACGAAAAACCGTGCTACATGTTGGGTTGCTTTGAGGTTTCGATCTTTCTTTTCCTTGGGTAACCAGTTCATCAGCAAATAAATCTTGATAAAGAACCACTACCACGAAATCTACCGCTAAAAAATACCTCTAAGACTTGATGCGAATTACTTATGGAAGGCAAAATAAAAATAAATAGATCTCTTCGTCAATTTGGTATCACTATCAGATTTTTTCTCACTAGCTAGATACCACAACTCCACAAGTAACGACCACAAAGAAAGAGAATTGTGTCCATAGTGATAAAAGGTTACAATATAGAGTGAGGAGAGAAGACTATAATTGACCTAATGGGTTTGTGGCCATACTAAATTTCTAAACCCAAACTTGAAAGAGTTTGAAAAATTGGAAGGTGTTCGAAAAAATCGAATGAACTCGAAAAAATTTGAAAAAGTAGAAAGAAACTGAAAAAGATTAGAAAAGATTGAAAAAATGAGTCTAATCGATACAATTTAATATAAAGATTGATATATGAATCTTAAATCCTTGTTGCATTTGACAATTTCTAATAAATACATTTACCATAAACAACACTTCGGCCTAAAGCCGCAAGTTTTTTGGGGGGGCTAAAGCCCATATTTTTCAAAATGTCGCAGTGACAGGTGTCACAAGGGACGGTTTCGTACCCCGCCATTTCGTCTCACCAGGAACCCACCCAGATCCAACAATCTCAACCCGTTTCGGTCCTCAATATCCCGGAATCCACATTTCTGAAGAGTTCATCTCCCGCGGAATCCCTCTGAACCCTCGATCCGCAGAGTCGTCTCGTTAGGGTTTCGATTTCCCGATGCCGCCGGTGAATCTAACGGCGAACGCGATCCCGGCTATCATCGCCGGTGACGTGAACTCCAAGCCGCTCGTCCAGGTTCTGGATATCAAGCTCATAGGCACCAAGCAGGAGCGGTACCGCCTCCTCCTCTCCGACTCTGTCTCCGCCCAGCAAGCGATGCTCGCTACTCAGCTCAACGATCGAGTCCAGACCGGCCGCGTCCGCACCGGTTCCGTCGTACAGTTGATCGAGTATATTTGCAGCAATGTTCAGAATCGCAAGTACGACTCTCATTTCTGTCAATTTGCACCTTCAGTATTATTACGGGGCATTTAGTATCCTGAACTCTCTAGGTTTTAACCATATGAATTCGCTAGCCTATTTCCATTATGAAAGTGCCGAAGAAAAAGGAAATTTAGCAGTCCAATGGTGTTAGGATGCGTAATGTTTATTTGCCATTTCGATCAATAAAATCCTTGAATTGCATATGCTATGCAAAGTATCTTGCACATCCTAAGCTTCTGAAATGTTTATCTATCTCTAGATAGATGGTTAAATCACTTAAATGAGTACCTATAATAAATTGATGGGTGTTTTTGCTGCCATATGACTTCCCTAAGGATATGGGAAAAATTACACAGTCATAAAGCATCTCCCACCTAAAAGAGTCATAATAGCCTTGAATTATGGTGATGAGCCCCGGAAGTAAGGCTGGAATTAGGCTTTTAAAAGAAACTGAAGATTTTCACACTTATCTTACTACACATCATGGATCTATCAATGGATTTATTGTTTTGGCTATCCAGCTTATAGCTATGTGAAAAGCTTATTTCAGCAGTATTTTAATGGAGTGTTCAAAAACTGTTACTGTTGAGAATGATAGATACTTTAATCTTTTCTTTGGATTGTAATGTGGATAACTATATGGATTATACAATTAAAATGCTTTCGAATTGTGTAAGCTTCCATAGTTTGGCTACCTGGCTTCCTAAGCATAAGCAGAGATTACATTGCGAAGAACTCTTTTATGTGTATCAGTTGATCTAAGAATATAAGAACATCTTGCTTGTTCAAATTTATATACTATACTTGATCTTGCTTGTTGAAACAAAGTAATGATCTCACCTTCTTGTTACAGGATTATTGTCATTATCAACATGGAAACTATCATTCCAGAGTGTGAAGTAATTGGGAATCCAAAAGCACTTGCTGAAACTGATTCAGTAGGGCAGGCACCAACCATCAACAGAACCACTTCTGAGCCTGTAATTTTCAATAGAAACACCAATGTGGCTTCTCAAGGTTATGGGCAAACAAGATTGACAACAAATAGCAACAATCTGAGCTCCCAAGTTGGCAATAATTTTCAAATGAACCGCCCAGTCATTCAGCCAGCATACCAACCACCTCCAAATTACAAACCTTACGGGGCTGGGGCAGTCATGAAGAACGAGGCACCAGCACGCATAATACCAATTTCTGCTCTGAATCCATATCAGGGTCGGTGGGCTATTAAGGCTAGAGTGACTGCAAAAGGCGATATCAGACGCTACAACAATGCTAAGGGAGATGGAAAAGTGTTCTCATTTGATCTCCTTGATTCTGATGGTGGAGAAATACGTGCAACCTGCTTCAATGCCGTTCTTGATCATTTTTATGAGACAATTCAAGTTGGGAAAGTCTACATGATATCTAAAGGCAGCTTGAAACCTGCACAAAAGAACTTCAACCATCTTAAGAACGAGTGGGAGATTTTGTTGGAAGCATCATCAACAGTGGATCCGTGTTTAGAGGAAGACCCTTCAATACCTAGACAGCAGTTCTCTTTCAGACCTATTAGTGAAATCGAGTTTGTTGAAAACAACTCCATCCTAGACGTGATTGGGGTCGTAACTAGTGTGAATCCTTCTGTTCCCATACTGCGCAAGAATGGAATGGAGACTCAGAGGAGGGTCCTGAGTCTGAAGGATCATTCCGAGCGGAGTGTGGATTTAACAATGTGGGGAGATTTCTGTAACAGGGAAGGGCAACAACTGCAGGAGATGTTAGACTCTGGTTTCTTCCCTGTTTTAGCAGTCAAAGCTGGAAAAGTCAACGATTTCAATGGGAAGTCATTAGGAACCATCTCTTCATCTCAACTCTTCATAAATCCAGATTCTCCTGAGGCTCTCAGTCTGAGACAGTGGTTCGACCAAGGAGGAAAAAATGTAGCCTCACATTGCATATCTAAAGAACTCATTCCCTCGGGCTCAAAGAACGAGATTCGCAAAATCATGTGCCAGATAAAGAACGAAGGGCTGGGAAGGTCAAATAAGCCAGACTGGGTCACCGTGAAGGCCACATTGACCTTCATCAAGACCGACACGTTCTGTTACACCGCATGCCCCTTGATGATTGGCGATAGGCAGTGCAACAAAAAAGTGACCAAGTTAGGGAACTCAAGATGGATGTGTGAGAGATGTAATCAAGAATCCGAGGAGTGTGACTACAGATACCTTCTTCAAGTTCAAATTCAGGACCATTCCGGGTTAACATGGGTGACTGCCTTCCAGGAAGCCGGGGAAGAGATATTTGGTTGCTCGGCCAAGGAGCTCTACATGATGAAGTCCGAAGAGGAAGACGATTCCAGGTTCTCTGGAATCATCAAGAAATGCCTCTTCACACAATTTCTGTTTAAACTTAAAATCAAAGAGGAAAACTATGGTGAGGAACAACGGGTGAAGATCACTGTTATCAAGGCAGATAAAACGGACCCTTCTCCGGAATGTAGGTACCTATTGGATTTACTGTAGGCTATTTCCTTCTTTGTCGAACAACCATAAGGTAAATTAGAAATTCCTCGGGATACACATTTACTGCTCTGTTATTCACCATTGTAAGTTGTGTTAATTGTGATGAAACAAAGACCATTATTAACGTAGTAAGCATTATCTGGAAAATAGAAATTTGAATAGCATTCGCATGTTTCTGATGATTACATTGAGACCATATCATCACCATCACAACAGAGACCAGAGAAAAGGTAAAATGATTATTACTACTACATGAAAGTATGCCGTTTTAGCCTCTCTTGACAGGATCGAATTTGGAGACACCGATGACAGCGCCCGCAATGACCGTGAGCACAACCCCTCCGGCAAGGATGCTTAGCAGGAAGTTCTTCAGGGACGGCGTGAGTGTCTCGGCCGCCTGAGCCACCTCCGGAACCGCCATGGATGCCGTCAGTGCGGCTGCTGTCAGTCCGGTCACGGCCTTCTCATTCAGCGACGCCCTCGCTTCGAATCTCCTGGCTGGTTTGGACGCCGCCACTGCGATCCGCTTGGATTCCCTCGCCGGCAGCATGGGGTTCAAGAAGGAAGCGGCGGCAGTTGGTTGCCGCATCTGGGTTGCAACGGTAAGTGACATCGCCATTGGAACTGCACAGGTAGAGGCCATTGAATCGCTTTAATCTCTCTCTATCTCTCTCAGATACCTTGGTTGGGTTGAATGATAGGAGAACGTGATTGGTAAAGGTTTTGATAGGGGAGAGAGAGGGGGGTATTTGTGTCACTAGTGTGAGATATGAAACGAGAGGTGGAAAATGCAGAGAGAGAGGGGGGGGGGGGGGGTGCTATCTTCAGTCCTACGTGGCAACTTCTCAAGTGGTTGTGGTGGATATGGTTTATCGCTTCGCAACTTCGTTTAAATTTGGCGCGTTCATCACGCACTTCCACTCGAAAAAAGAACCCCTCAACCCTCTAAATAGTACTCCTTCCAATACAATTTGGGGTTTATGAGGAGAAATATCTCATTTTTTAAAATTATTTTATTTACAAATTATTATATCGATAAGAAATAAAAATTACATATTAAAAAAGTATGTCAAAAGTTTTATAAAATAAAAGGTGAAAAAAATATATTTTATTTCATCAAATACTTAATTAAATCGCGTAAACAAATACTCCCTCCGTCCCACTCTCTTTGTCCATTTACTTTTTGGCACACCATCCAAATTCCAATGCATTTCTTTAATCCATTTTATCTTGTAATTTGTATATTAAAAAATTATAGAAATTATATATTAATAATCTATATGTTAAGACAAATCAAACAAGATCACACATGACTATATTTAGTCTTACACATTGAGAGAATTTGATGAGTCAAAGTGCTTAGATGAACAGTTCCAAAAGTCAAAAGTGGACAAAGAAAGTGGGACGGAGGTAGTAAAAGTTATCGAGAGGGAGAAAAAAATGGTAATCAAATTCAGGTCGGAGGGAGTATTTTTTTCTTACTTTGACCATTTTAAAAATATTGAAAGAAATCAAACTAAATTAAGTGTAAAACATGAATAAAATATTAAAATAGAATTTTTATATTTTTATCTTCAAAATAAGAGTACAATGCTAATATATAGTACTAAAAAAAGTAGTCGGTCACTCTACAATGTAATAATATCACATTATAAAT